TTGGTTGTTATGCATTGTTTCTGGTTGAACCGTAGTAGTATATATTTACGGTTATACTTATATATAAAAACACATATATACATGCTTAGATGGTAGACATGGTTCAATTGTTGTGGGCAATTTATTTCAAAATACCGCAACTAAAATCTAAATTTTTGCAGACGTCTCGAAACTCACTTTTGAAGAATGATTTGCTGTCACCAGATGGGCTTTTGGCATGGAAACACATCTAGAGGGAATTTATGAAGATATGTCTAAAAAAACATTTAAAACAGCCATGTAAACTAACAGACCAACATGCTTAACTTAATAGCTTAATAAAAATGTCTGTTAAATATTAAGCACAGGTATAGCACAAAGAATTATTTTGGATATTATGTCATTTGTATTTTCTCATTAGATCTATCTCCTATTGAGCATTTAAATACTTGAATCATGATTATTATTTCTAAAATTACCAACAGTATTCAGGTCATTAATAACAGATGAACCGGGGAAATTTTTCTTTATAGGTTCTTCCTGCATCTGTTGCTAGGATTTCGGAAATGTCTGAAATCGAAGCAACTGCCAAGTTTTGCAAACTGCAGAATACATTTTTTGACATAAGCAACAGCACTACTGACGTGGCTATCCTCAAAAACTGAAATCTACTACTACTCTCTGAAACATCTGAAGACAAAAGACTGCAGTAGATCAGCCAAAATTCCATAAATTATTTTACACACTGGAAGTCTACAACAAGTGATTACCTCAAGGATTTTTTAACAAAATAAATGCTATTCAGCTACATGCAACACATTTTGTAGTCATATTTCAAAAACAACAACATTTCATTGCTTCTCCAGCGTATGAAGGACTACAAATACTGGTACCTTCAACATGTGATATACCATATTTAGGATTGCCAACCGTCCTTTATTTCAAAGGACAATCCTTTATTTGAGATTTTTGTCCTTGTCCTTTTTAAGATGATAATTGTCCTTTATTTTTTCCAACGTGGTTTTGCCCGATAAGTATAGTACTGTGTTTGATATTGTTTCGTTCTTAAATCGCCTCCATTTATGTATTTGCAAGCTTTTAATTATTCTTTTTAATTTCGCTTCGGCACGGCTCAAATAGCCAAAGAAATACCAATTTTATTAACAATTTCAAATATTTTAAATTAATTTTCCGAAGATGACAAGTGGCAACACTCCCAGATTTAAGTGAATTCTAGTTCAATAACTAGAATGTTAACTAGAATATAATTGGTCTCTAAGATTTTAGATTATTTCTCAACTCTGCGATAACGTATTCGGAAAAAAGATTTGACTTTGATGAAAATTCAACATTTGGAAAATAATCTCTTTTGGATAATCTTTCTCCAAAATATCAGACACTTGTAAAAATTGTAGAGCATTTGAAGCTAAAGGACAAACTTAATTTGAATATGTTCAACCTTCTTGATGAAGTTGCACTCATTCAAAAAAAATTTGGCACGATTCAAAGCACTAAACTGTTCACAGAATGCAGCTTGATTGGGTCAATGTTAAATAAACATTGAATGAAAAATACATGAAGATTTTTTAATATATCTTTTTAGCTTGCATATAATTTGTAGTTCATTGTTTTATATTGTTCTTTTCTGCAAGTTACAAAATAAATGATGACGGTAATCTATGTCTTTTATTGAGACTTTTCATAGTTGGCAACCCTAACCATATTAGACCAAACATCTGTCAGACCCCCCTTTAAGTGTAAAATAAAAGTCTTCTAAATTGTTTTACTATATCATACATATAAATTTTTCGTGGCTTGAAACACTTTTAGAGTTAGACCATCGGGACTATTATAAACTAACATTTGCCGGCTTCCGATCAGACCTGCTAGGTATTTTGAATGTCAGAACCCCCCTCCATAATCTTCAGCTATGCCCGTAGGGCATCACCCTAAATATTGGGTGAATCGCCGTGCTCCAGTTGATTGAAAAGCAGCAAAGAAAAATGTAGCTATGTCCACGTGATAGAACCTAAATTGGCCTTTACTCCAGCTAAGAACCACTACTCAAGTCCTAAAAACATCAATACCACTATTAACATAACTCGATATTCAGTGTTTAATCACAATAGTAATTAAAATAATAATTTGTATTTCTATGGATTATTGAGAAAAAAACTTGGTACTCCAGAAATACATGTACCAAGATGACGGACAACGGAACATAGTATGTGTACCAGGTTAGGCCATACTTTTAGGTACAAATACTACAAAACTCACTTGGTTAGTCCCTGAACTCGTATCAGAACTAAAATTGGAATAAAATTATGGCCTAACCCTAACGTGGTACATACTACGTTCCAGTGTCCTTATTTCTTGGTACGCGTACTTCAGGAGTAAGGAAACTTGACTGTAATCACATATATCTTAATCTTCGTTCTAGCTGCTGTGTTTCTTCAATGGTTTTCGTATTCCATGAGTCCTATTGTCCATGTTGTTGTTATTATTTTGGCTGCAGTACTTTGCGTATACATTTGCTCAGATTTTTTGAATACTTTTTCAAGTAGTGTTGTTACATCTTGACATTCAGTTACATTGTTTAATAGGTATTCGCTCATGAATGATTTGAAAACATTTTTCTTTTATATCAAGTGTCGGATGTTCAATGATGTGGTGATGGAAATGAATTTCAGCTGCTTGCATGTGTTGAGATAGCCCTTATATAATTATTGACTCTTGAAAAAGTTATTTATAGATTGGTTTGATTAATTTCTTGAGCAGAGCTTTGTGTTTCTTGGTTGCATTATTAACAGAAATTGCTGCTTTACCTATGGATTCCAGATTGTTGTCACATTCACAAAAGCTGTAGTGCGCAAATCACTAGCCCTTCGTCTCGTTTGACGGCGTTGAATTCTTTCTCATAATCATCACGGCAAATGCGTTTACGTATCCTCATTTTATCTCTTATGAAGTTCCAGATCTAAACTAAATTCAAAGTTTAATTTACTGATATATTCATTCATAATGTTAAAAATAAGGACATACGTCAAAATAAGGATGTTTTTTAAAAATGAGGACAAAAATATTTCCTAACGCAAAGACCTTCAAAATATAGACAAATTCTAAAAATATGGACGTTATGGCATTCCTGATTATAGGTCAAGAGGAGAAAAACTTCTGTAAAAGCTACAATACTTGAGATGAGTGAGACCAAAGGGCTGTGCTACTAAGCGTTTTTTTTTTTTATATAAAGTGCAAAGTATTCATTTTCGTCACCACTTTACCTATATCTGACTGACATTTTTTGCACTGCATCGCATTTTTGATGCCTTGCTTTCTTCCGACAAGGAAGTTGTCACATCACCCTGGTCATTTGCAGGACAGACTGTGTCTTCATTTCACAATTATTTGTTCATTTTTATCAAATTCTCCACGTCTGAATGGTCCGAATGTTGAAATTTGGATATCTGCCTTAACTTATATTTAATTTCACGTATTTAGTTGGCGCTCGGAAATAGAAATACTTCATATTACGAGGTGCGGCTAAAAAGAAACGGCTATTGAATTTAGAAGTTTATTTAGATGCATATATTACAATGTCCACATTGTCTAACTAACACATACAAGTCTTAAGTCATCTCTACTTGTCCCCTTCGAAATATTGTGAAAATTCTTCTTTTGTGATGGTATTGAGGTGTCTCGTCACGCTGGTCTTGATATCCTCGACTCCTTGGAAGCGTGTCCCCTTGAGAATCCCTTTCGGCTTTGGAAAAAGAAAGAAATCGCTAGGGGGCTAGATCCGGCGAATAAGGTGGATGATGCAACCTGGTGATTTCTTTCGAGATCAAAAACTGTTTTCATGCCGAGGACTGTGTGTGCAGGAGCATTGTCGTGATGCAAGATTCAAGTTTTTCCTGCCCAAGAAGCTTCTCGTTTTCGACGAATTTTGTTGACAAGACGAGTCAGAACTTCCTCAAAAAAGTGTTGGTTAACTTTTTGTCCTTGGGGAACAAAGTCATGATACACCTTTTCCTGATGATCCTCCTTGAATTTGGATTAACCTCCACATGCCTTCCACAAATCGCCTGTGCCAGAACTCTTGTTCTGGACATTGGAGAATCTCCATAAACGTCACGCAACATCTTCAAAGTCTCAGTCGCCGTTTTTTCAAGTTTGACACAAAATTTAATGTCAATTCTTTGCTCAATCGTCATTCTGCAATTGAACCCCCTTCGTCGAACCCCAGATTAAGAAATACTGGACTATGGTAAAACCTAGTTCCCCACCGTGTGTGCCATATCTGCGATTTCCAGAAAAAAGTTTTTAATCTGTCGTGGTCCCCCTAAAAAACTAATGTTGTTTACTATTTATGTAGTCGATAATGAGTAACAAAAAAGCTTGCAGGGGGATATAGATCAGGGGTCGCGACCCCAAATTGGGTGGAGAGATAAATAGATAGGGTCGCTGAAGTATGGTAGAGGATAAATGTACAACTCATCTAAGATTTGACAAACCATGTTAAATTTAGCAGTTTGTACCATGGCCTAATGTAAAACCGGCTCATAGGCATCACTCTATGCTTTTGTTATTGAAAATGTAGGTGTTTATTGTGACATCACTGTCGGGTTTTAGCTTATTTTACTTAATACCACCACATGACCAAACTCAAGAGTCCAGTGAAAGAAGCTCTAAAGTTTCATGAAAAATATATATATTGACCTGGGGTCGCACTGGACACTTGAAAGTTGTCTTTGGGGTTGTCCTGAAAAAAGCTTAGGAACCCCTGATATAGATCATGCGTGAATAAATAACGATGAAAAGATGTTCACGGCTTAACGTTGAGACTCACACTGAATTCGATCGGCGAAGGCAATGGCACGAGTTTTTACCAATTTGCACAAATTGGTCAGAAACCAATTTTAATCATCTTGGACTCCTTGGATTTATTATATGATCCACGAATCAGTTATTTCCCTCCCCCCTACAGGGGTGAACACCCTCCTACAATTTTGATACCAAAGGTATCACATTTCTTGTTTTTGTATTAAAAGCAACAAACACAAATGGTGTTTTAATTTTACAGTGAAACTAATATTATGCTAATGTTGGATGCAAGTTTGCTGCATTTTGTCGCAAAATATCCCCATCAAAGGGATAACTCTCAATGCAGGTTTTCAAATCATCTTTGCTAAGTGAATACACGTCAACATATGTTCTAGCTCGTACAGAAAATGAAAGACGAGTCTGTAAAACAAAATGGAAAGAATGGATGAAAAGACCTCAAGACTGACATATATCATGGAGATAATACTACTGTTCCTAAGAACTTTCAAATGAAATATCAAAGAATCAGATACATATTTGATTATCGTGATGGGTGAAACAACTGAATACTTTATTAACCACCAGAATCAACCTATAGCTTACTGTTTTGAGCACACTTTCGGATAAGAAAGTTTCTCCGTCCATCATCAACCGTATGGGAATGTTTTTCCCTTCTCATCATGTTGAATATTTCGGCCACTCCACGATGTATAACAAACATGTCGCTTCGAACATCATCCTGCGATCAAAAACGTAGTAAATTATTGCTTTTGACATAAACACTGCGAAATACTTTTTGGGTATGGAAATTGAACTTCATTGTGTTTACATGCAGTCCCCTCGCCAATAACCGAGGTCTAGTAATTTTGTCTCAAGGAAAATCTATATCAGGTAATTTAATTGTGGAGAAATTATTTTCGCATGGTATTTCGATTGCAGATCAAATAATTGGCAACATATGAAATCACAGAATATTTTGTTCTGTATATAATAAACTCTCAAAAGCAAAAAATTCACACAAACTTAAGAGAGAATAAACCATGCATATTAAAAAAATATTACTGGGCTAATTTTAACAATTTGCTTTTCACGTCTTTTGTTGTTTAATTACCTGTGCCAGTGTTTTTTTAATCATTTAACTCGTAATGGTAATATTGTGATTACTACGATGCTATTATTATAAGTAAGCAGCAGCATAGGTAGAATGAGGATGATTGGGTTAAGGTTGTGAACGTGTGCATGTTTATCAAACGCAATGTTTAATCAGCAGCACTTTATTCAACATGACACTCATTCACTACACTACACACATATACCTGAAGACAAATGTAGTCGCTTGGCATGTACGAAACAGGTCGCATCAATGAACAAACATGGCGAATGAAATTAATCGAACATCCGTTGAACAATATATTGTGTTCTATATCACCCCCAACTAATTGATGCATGATGTCTGCTTTCAGGCTGTATAAAATATAAAAATTAATCACAGAATCACAGTAGTCAAGCTAGTATTTTTTGAAAATTCAAGATCATAAAAAATCATTCTGGTGACACTGAATACGCCAATGCTATACTATTTGCGTTGCATTTATGAGAACTTTGAGATCAAACCTGTAGCACAAATCGTTGAAAAGTTCAGAGAATTTCGCTCCTTGGTTTTTCATCCAGATATAATCATAATATTGTTCAATATGGTCAACTATAGTTTTATCAAATTTCATGTCCGTCATATATGTTTTAACAGCCTGTAAACAATATGAATTTAATGCGATTCAGATTAGATGCAACAGAATAAAAATATTGATTCATATTTCCTATATTTTATTACAAATAGTACCAAAGTAAGGCAACGAAAAAAATCCCACTATTCCATAGAAATCTATTGCAGAACTCACATTGACTTGTTCTTCATACCATACTTTTCTTGCATCGTCATTGGCTAAAGTAGCAGCAAGCATACTCAATATGTAACCAATCAGTACTTTCCCAGCAACCATAACACACATTGCAAATGCAATTTCAATGGCACTTTTAGGCCTGATGTCTCCATAACCAGTTGATGTCATCGTAGCGACAGTCCAATAGCATCCATCGACCCATGGTAACAGCTCTTCACCTCTAACGCCTTTGGTTTTATAGTCTATGGAAAAAAATGCAACAAAGTGATTATTCAGTAATCATAAGCAAAACATGGGTCAGCTGTGAAATGGTAGAAGAATAAAGCTATATAGTATCCGAGAATGTTTTACAGAGATACTTATTGTTGAATTTTCATCGAATTAACACTGAAAATAAATTACTTCATCTATTTATCTTGTTTCTATTAAATAGATGAAACTCTAGAAAAAGGTTGACTCACCAGTCAGAGGCATCGTAGTCAGCTCAATTCAGCACAACTTCCACCAGGACAAGCAACGAAGTAGAAGACAAAAAGAAATTTGATATAGAAAAGCACAAGAACAAGTTTGTACATTCTGACAACAGTCTTGAAAAACAAAATTTTAGTTTGTCAGGTTGGTTATGTAGGGGAGGTCTTTTGGGTTCAAGTCCGAGGAGTTTTAGAAATCATCTGTTTGCTCTCCACCTCACTCATACATACTGTAAATCTAGAAATACAATTCAAAAGTTTAATCCACATAAACGCCAAAACTACAAGGTGCACAGAAGTGATTGGAATCAATCATAAAAATAAGAATTTCACTAGTAAGTAGTGACCACACAAAGCTGTCAGGAGAATGGACAAATCTCCACCATATGCTGAGAACAATGGCAATGAACATTTCAAGCTGAAATACATTTATAATCCCTGTATCAAAAATATAATGAAGAAATAGAAGCATACTCTTTCTTGCAGATCTCTCTCCCATGCAGCCAATATAATGAAAAATTTCCTTATCCTAAGAACTCTATTCAATCGTAGATAAGACAAAATTGCCAACTTTCTTGCGTAGGTCTAAGATATATAAATTTGTTTAACATTTTAACAGGATGCAAGACAAAATCTCGGAGACATGACAACAGTGTTAGGGTGTTTACATATTAATTCTAAGGAGAGGAAGGCTAATAAGATTGCTTAATCATATGGCGAATCACAGCCTTTTGTACGGTTGGTTACCAGTCCATGTCCTGTATAGGCTTAGTTGGCCAGTTATTTGTTTTCACATGCATGGACTTAATGGTGAAGGAATCCATATTCGAGTGGTCCGTCCCAACCACCTGCGGCGGCGAGGAGTCCAACAATCCTCTCTCACATAATTTTACCCCACAGGATTCGAACCTATGCAGGGTAATCAGAGGTTTGATGACGGGCATATTTCTAACGCTTTATTCAATGTACTCGGTCTGTATTTTTTATAATCATTAGTATTTCATCATACAATAGAACCAATTTAGTCACCCTGACCTCACTCAACGTTCCACCCATTGGAACAAAATGGACGAAAACTTCAAAAGGAAAGTTTGTAACACAATCAATGAAAAATCTCCTCCAATCCTTTCCATAATGTGCATGAATCTTATCCAAGGTTTCAACAATGTCTCCCATTTTGTTAAAGTAACTTGTGTGGAAACAAATCACCATGTCAATTGCAAACCTGTGAAAAATGAAGCCTGGATTAAGAAAATTGAGACACAAATTTTCAAGTTTACAATGACTAATGAGAATGTACAAAGAACAAAATCGATGCACAGATATCCCAAATTATGATAAAAATTTGAACCAAAATATTTTTTAAGATGACTAGTGAGTATAAATATTTAAAAAAAATTACCATACATCCATAAGAAATACAAAAGTATCAATTCCAGAGTTATGGGTAAGGAAGCATGCTTGATAGACAGCCAATGATGATGAAAGGAAAGCCAAGATAACTGTGCCATGATCCCATATTTGTGCAAATGTTGAGTTACGATCTATTATCTGTAACAAAATATATCTTGTTGAAAAATTGCATCTTTATCTTGAAATTTAAATTTCATAATGAAAACTATTTATAAACCAATTATAATAATATTTTAAGTTTAAATGTGGACAACTCTGTTGTTCCACTTCTATCAAAATAATCTTTTCTTCAATATTTTATTGGTTCATTTTTTGATAGTTTCCAAGTTTCATGATTCCTATTCAGAATAGATACATATATATTAAAAATTTTTTTCCAAATATGAAATGAGAAACACATTCTAGTTCTAAGAGGTGGCAACTGGCAATAAATAATCCTCTCCAATTTTCATAAACTATTAGTATGCTCAGGCCCAGAAATACCTTGTTTATCATGCTAAACTAGTACAAGATAGACTAATAATCAACAAATCTCAGTAATTTTTTAAAAAGTGCAAATCTATGTTAACCTTAGAAAAGAAGAACTTGTCTTGACCATCAGTCCTGTTACCCTTTTCATCATAAACAACGTTTGCATTGGAGGATTGGTCAGTCATGCTCTTGCGTCTGAGATAGCTGTTTGAGGTTGTGCCTTTGAGTTTACGATCCTTGGGATTGAAACATTTGTAATAAGACCATAAAATAGTGCAGCATAACATATCATCGAAAAGCGTATAAGCATTATTAATAACAGAAACATATGTATGAAGCAAACCCAAGGCTAATTTTTGAAATATTTATTTAGTTCAAATCAACACGCACGTTGTATTGAATTGTACACACAGAAGTTACACAACACCACTATACTCACCAAGGCAATGGTGGTCATGATTTCCCTGAATTGAGGGTATCTATCAAGAATATTATCCAAATCTTGTTTATTGAGAACACTCAAATCACAATTGTCATAGTGACAGTCGTTGCAGTGCGAGGAATTAAGGAAAACAAGCAATCTAGATAAAATAAGTGTATTAGATTGGGCAGTAAACAACATATCAAATCATTCCATATAAACAATTTGAAATGCACACAACAGATGTCCGTGTGTTGCTCTAACCACTCCGGAATGATCATAACTAAGGTTTGTAATAAAAATAGTAGTTCCGCAAATACCCTTTATCTTAAATCCATATTTTACCTAAAATGCTTCAATTAAACTACACCCCTTTTTGATAGGATAGGATAGGATTTACATATTTATCCCGGGGGAGAGGAAAGCCGATAAGACGGCTTATCCATTATGGCGAACCACGGCCCTCGTCCGGTTACCATTCCAAGTCGGGTATGGGATTAGTTTTACTGTATTGTTTGTTTTCGGAAGCATGGACTTGCGGTGGTGGAGGAAGCCGTAACCGACCAGCCGGTTACGTGAACCACCCAATTTCCTAATTATGCATGAGAATAGTAAAATTACAACCACCTCACACTGATCACAGGTGATATAATCTGAAGCTGTTTATCGTATGATTTATAGTTACGAGATGTTTAGCTAAAAATGATAATATATATCTACCAGAATGTGTTAGGTATTCAATTATTACCTCTCCAAAATATTGTCCTGGTCCAAGCACACGTTTTACTGTTTCATCATCTTCTTCAAGTATGGAACATTACCTCGCTGAAGAAAATACATATCTTCCCCAACACTATTCCGACTGGAAATGGAAATGAGAGCTAAAGATATGAACGTCACTCAGCCTAATCTGAAATGTTTTGCGTCTGAATCTACCATAATCATGAACAAAAGAGCACACTTTTATCTGATGCATTTTTCCCTATTGGAGAACTACCAGTATATTACTAAATTCTAGAAGATAGGGATAATCTTTCACAAAATATCTTGCCAGCAGTCAGTCAGCACTATTAAAGCTTCTATTCATAGTATGAAAACAACACAGCACCTGAATATAGTACTTTTCGCCAGAAAGATTTGTGGATGGATGTACATAGATAGAAGATTAAAAAATCCATTCATATCCTTTTCCGATATATTTGAGCTAATGATTAAAAAGATGTTTCAGTTACAGTAAATTCAATACAATTGGAAAAAAGCTGCTCCAACCCTATATTTAGTTAGTCAAATGAAAACAATAAACATCAATATTTTATCGAGCTATGCAAAGTTATATTTATGCGGGTTTTTCGCACCCAATCACATATTGATATGAACTACACTGCTCACATCATATTAATTTCGGTTATCTCATGGCCTGTCCACAACATGAAAGAATTTATAATTCAGTATATAAAGCCAAACATTCAGTCAAAAAGGGGTGAAATTACATGAACATGCCAACTGTAATTTACAGTTATATTTCGATGTTGTATTTCATCTACCGTAAATGCATAGGTAAAATTGATAACCATTCAACAATATAATTTCATATTCTTGTTTAGGGTTTAATTTTACTTTAAATTCATAAATACTACTTCCTCACTTTGTATAGCGTCTGAACTCTGGAAAGATTCACGAATCATATCATTCATTACATACAATGGCAGAGACTGGCTTTGACAGTTGGAGGAAGACCTCGCAATAGATCATTTGGGGTAACACCTCCTGTTCTTTCCAAAGGTATGAGTAGAAGTTGATAACCTAAAAAAATTGAATATTTTCAAGGCTATTACTGCTACTGCCCAACGAATTAGGATGATTTGCAAATTTTCAGATATCTATAATATTGAAAAACAGATGCTATTTCAACCTGGTTTGTTGTATCTTCGAAACATGATTCAACTTGAAAAATTTTCTAATGTCCATCATTCGCTTCTTGAAAACAGCTCTAGTTGTATCGTCCATCTGAATGGTGGCAGCAATATCTCCTAATGTCAGAGCATAGTAAATAATTCCCAAGTACATCAGCATTGAGCAAAAAAATTTCTCAATCTGAAAAGGTCGAATAGAAATATGATTAAATATTAAATCAAAGTTGTGTAATTAAGCTTGCAAAACCAAATTAATATACAGATTTTAAACAAACCAAGTGGTTATCGATACTGACTGCACAGTATAGTATGTAAAAAGTAGGTTTGGAGAATCAAGGGAGAAATAGGAAATCCCAACATTCTGCACACTAAGCACTATATCCACACTGAATTTCGTCGTCCGCGAGTGATCATTTGAAATCGGCAAGTGTGTTGTGCAATCCAAGCATTTGATTCGGCGACGTGTTATGTCCAGGTCATGTGTTACCAGATATTCGAATAGTAAGCTACTAATATTTGAATATTTTATTACACAGTAACCAGTAATTATTGACTTCATTGCTTTTTATATATTATGTGAATTCTCACGTCAATCAGCCGATATTTAGGTTTGGTGAAAACGTTTGCGACCCGCAATAAATTTCCTCATGCAAAAGTGCCCTGAGACACTAAAAAGGTTGGAAGTCCTGATCTATGAAAAAAACCCCTGTTTGGTTCAAATCAGAAACTGTCTGATTCTTCTCTACAACTTAAGCTCTGAAAATTCCATTCGAATCCATATTTACAATAAAAATTGACATAGAAATGTGCCAAATACAGGAATTTCAATTAGAATCATTGACTTTGAAGAGAACATATTTTTACATTCTATAACTAATGCTCCTAACACTGAAAAACAGGTGTAACATACACTGGCTGCCAGCAACAACATCTCCATATCCTACAGACACAAGTGTGGCTGTAACATAGTATAAGCTGAGTAGATATCGATGAGAGTCACTGTTAACCAAGTCAAGTGCAGGGAATGTATCATCTATGACAGCTTTTGGAACCCATGAACGTTTGGGAACAGAGAATGGTCCAGTTGCACCGGTCAAAGTCATGTAATCAGTGTTGTTACTGTTTGTCAACCTGAGTGAATAAATTAGATCTTGACTAATTATAGAAAATACAATGAATAATAAACGAAAGGTATGCAATTAGTTCCTGTGTGACCAGTTGATTGTCATTTCCACTCAGTTTCTTGAATTTACACTTATGGGACAAAACTATTTAGTTTAGGCACAAGTCAATATTTCCAAACTAACTTCTGATAAAATTTGGTCAGTTGTACAATGTTCAGATACGGCTCAAGAAATGTAACTTTGTATCAACACACTGACTGTTTGAGTTATGTGATAGTGATACCCACAAGTAAATTTATTTAATGACTGGAGCCTTCTTATGTTGGTGAGATGTTATAGTATTTCTTGCCATATTTAATATAAAATCATTAAGTACAAACCCATGCTATCTGTGGTTGAGCCATTGCGATGTACATGACACATGCAACAACATTATGCATTAGAAGTGTATATATAACTCTAGTACAATGTTTTAAAAATCTTCTTTTCCAACGAACATCACTTTGCCAATAGTTGAAGTAACCTATTAGCTAAACAATATTGACAAGAATTTGTTAGACAAACAAATAGTACCTAATACTATAAATAGCTAGGTATTTCTATGGAATAATTTCTTCAAATGTTCAGAAGCTTCTAAATAATGTGTACAAAGTGTGAAAAAGTTCGTATTGTAATATTATTTGTCACTTAATTTAATATCTGAAAATCCAGGATGATGTGTTTAAATTAATTTTTTTTGTTTGGTACTGATTAAATTAATCAAACCTATAGGCAATAGTATTGTCATAGCTTGTGAAGAAAAATATGTGCAAGCTTCTTCAATTTAAAATTTCTCCATATACAACTATGATATACTAAGATGTACAACATTAGCCAAATCTGTACAAACCTTGTACAATTGTAGAATACGGAGTACCCGAAACATACAAATGAACCTCCATTGAGCAAGTGTCCATGGTGTTGGTATTGTGGCCATGACAATCAATTCGAATGGAAACCAGGAAATGAAATCAACAAAAAAACTTGTCTTGAAATAATGACCCGCAGTATATAACGGATGGCACACCAGAACCTTGCGATCATTGTAATACATTGTATGAAGCTTAATGTATTGGTCCACCATAGTCAATCCATCAAGGATGTACTGCAATGCCAATAGCGCTGGTATGTTGGGCATGAAAGCTGCCTGTTGAAGACATAAATTTATATTGTGAAGGGTGATAGTATTTGACCTAAGATGTAGATATAAAGGTTAAAACAGAGCTTCATACATATTGAATCATTTTTTGAAAGGCATGAGTGATCATAACGATCATAATCTGAAAATATACTTTATAGCTAGTCACGATGTGAAAGACAATTACTTTCAGAGTGACATGTATTCTAAATATGATCATTGACCATAAGACTTTAACCATAAGAATCATTATATTAGAAAAACAAATGCTTTGGAATTTAATTTAAAATCTATGAGTATACGCCACATGGCTTCGGTTATTTAACATCCTACAAGGTAAACAAGTTGAGGCCATAACCAATATCTTCTGTTCTGTTTGTTATACAATAGCTCCGCATAAATTTATCCTGATTAGTTAATTTGATGTAAAAAACCCATCAAACGACCAATTCTTATCCTAATGTTAACAAGAAAATCTCATACTCCATAGAAATCAATGTTGAAGTGCAATCATACCTGGAATGGCACAATGAATATGGTAATCATGTTCAGAATCATTCTGAATGTTTCATAACATATGTATTGATTGCTGCCTGGGTGAAAGGTGAAAGGCATCAGAAACAGTCTAGCCAGTGTCTTCAAAACTGGATGCACGGCAACATCGTCAGTGCTGTCAGCATCTATTAGCTTCTGAACTGCAGGAGCTTCCACAATTTTGTCCCCGTAATATGACACACCTCCATTCATATGATGAATATCAAATCGCTTACTCATGTCAACCCTTGATTACACACAAAAATATCAAGTTATGATCATGTTCAATAAACATGTTATTTGGAACAGCAAGACTTGTCCAAATCAACAATCCAAAGAATGACATAACAAAATTGCTCAAAAGGGGTACAGAAGTGAGTGATCTAATTTTAGTTGACCTTATTACAAATACAGTGATACCTGGTAGTCCAACATAATTCGTTGAGAATTGGTGTTCAACTACTGATTTGTTCGAGTACCGAAACTTTTTGAACATGATAAAGATAAAATATAACAAATTTTGTATCAGTTACTATACATTTGAGCAAGTTTCTGTAGGCTCTATGAAATTCGATTTTTATACGTGATGACTTCAATTGCTGGTTCTGCTTTCGTGTTGGTCATGAAGATTGCCAAACCGGTAATCCACTGTGACAGATTGCATACCAATACTACTTCGATTGGGCCTTGGTGTCCATATAATTGAGCATTGCTCTCTAGTTAAATGGTCAAAAGGTCTCCAGGATGCCAGTTTGAGTGCCCTCATCTCATTCGACGACCCGCACAGGTGTTTAAACACCAAATTTCTGTTTGAGTACCGCAGCATTTTTGACAAGAATTCTTTGTTTGACTACAGAATTTTTTGAGTATCGGGTCGTTCGACTACTGAGGTATCACAAAAAATGCACATTTGCAATAAAGTGCCATTGTCTAAAAAAATAATACCTTGGCCTGTCTGCACGCTGGTGGATATTTTGAACAATCATATCATGGTATTCCTTGTCATCAGCAATACTGACCATTTCAGAATTGAGCTGTGGGAAGGTAGCAATGATGTCAATGATATGAACTTTCTCCAAGAAAAGGATTTCTGCACTAGTATCAGCAACAACTGTTCTTGCGGAGCCTTTACCATGGAAAATCTAACCAAATAAATGAAAGCCATTAATTTAAGGTACTAATCAACAAGTAGCTGTTAACTTCAAAGGATATAATATTCATTACGGGCCTTTAGAATTGCAAATTGCTAGCAGAACTATTTGATTTAATTGTAGGACATCTAATGCTTGGAGTCGATGCCTACTGCATGTGATTCTGGCTAGGTAGTATTTCCGTTGTCAATAATTCTAATAATTCTTTTTCTGGAAACGTGCCTATTATATGATAAATCTTTATAATTCTGGAATTCTAATTCCTAGATTTCCAATGAATTATTCCGAAACTAAAAATTTAGACTCTGAAGCCAGGGAGTTTAGAAATATGGCTTCAATACTACCAAATAAAAAAATTCTCAATTTCACAACACTGCTTGACGTTGTAAAACTTATAATATATGTTCATTACGAAAAAAGGGACTTGACTGAGATTAAGAAACTCTGAGTCTATCATTGCAGCTATATAAACCACATACCTCAACTTCACCAAAGTAATCTCCAGGATGCAAAACATCAAATGACTCCATCAAATCATCGGTAACAACAACGCAATGCCCTTGCTTGATGATGTATAACCCACCACACATGTCACCCTGAGGAAAAATAATGAACAAAGTATGATGAACAAACTTTTCAAATATTTATTTTCTAAACGAAAGTCAAGCGAACCTCATAGATTACCACACTCCCTTCTGAATAATGATAGGCATCAATATTATTGCATAGCTTAGATATTGCAGCAGGATGAAGTCCTTTGAACAGAGGAATATGTTCGATAAAGCTTCCAAAGCTTTCATACATAAGCATTTGATGGAGATGCAAAGGAAGTTTGCTATCAATAGCCTCATCCCTTCCTTCACCAGGAGTAGCATCACCCAAAAATCTGTCCCAAAGAATATATCGGCAATCCAGTGCTCGGTTTGTCAATTGAAGAGGCACCTAATGAAAAAAACAAAAATAAACCCGCTAAAATAGAAGTTCGAAGAAAATTAAACAGAAAAATACTGTTTTCCTATCATAATTTAGAAAACATTGATTAGATCAGAAAAAACTTATGTAACATACGGAATGTTTTAACAGATATCTTTTCATCATCAAAAGATTGTTGGTATAAGTGGTGATGGCTGATGCTGTACTGGATATCATTGAAGAAATAACTGCAATGATCCAACCACACATAATCGTTCCCAATGTCATTGTTACTACACCCACGAGCATCAAATCAGTGACAGTTGCAGGATATTCACCATACCTGTGTTAAGATAAAAAAAAATGGCTTCACTCTCCTAAATTAATCCTGTTACATGTGGAAATTTAAATGCATCTACAGTTTCACAAAGTATACTGGACCTTTAGATTTTTACCAAATCTATGTTTGTATATTGGCAACGGCAATAAAAATTTCAGCATTTATATTCTTATATTCATTTCCAGTGATGCATAATAGCAATGCATAATCTGCATACCCTCATTTTGGGAAATGTAATCAGACATTGAAAGTGCTTATTAAATGCAGAGAAATGTGATAAACTGTAACAATATCTCATTGACTGAAAAATAAACTTGTATTTGAAAACACATTACAGTACCAGTTTCAGCTTAAGTAACACTATCCGACAATACAGTATCATACTTGTCTAACACCATTATTCCAGCTTTTCACTAATATATACTGTATTCATAAACTTGCCCTAGTTATATAAATATGATCTTCTATTTACTAAAACGAAAGCTCACCCTGTACTAGTGATAACCATACTGCAGATATAAAACAAATGAAAGTAATCTTGAATTCTCAGGCAACGTTCACTAAAGGTACCAGCAGTACCAGAGGGATCGTGGCTAAAAAAATATAAAATAAACTTGTCAACATACACCAGTACTTTCCCTACAGATAACTGAAAAGCGGCTGTTAAGATTTGCTGTAAGTTGAAAAATAGTTTGGTTTTTAAAATTTTACTTAGCAAAGCATTACACATAACAAAACATGAAAGAAAAACCAAAAAATAAAATAAAAAAGCTGTAAAGTCAACTTACTGATTTTCAAATCACAAAGCACATTCCTAACATTATTCTCATGCAAATTGTTACATTGACACAGTGACTCATGGACATTTTCTAAACACCTTAAATAAACAATTACCAATAAGCCATTGTTTCTGAACCCAACCAACCAAGGGAGCTGGCTGAATAGACCTTAATTACCCTTTTCAGCACGATATCTTTATTTCCTAGGTTAGCAGTCTATTTATCTGCTGAACCTAGTTAAGCGAACATAAGTGATTTTTTCAGTATTTCAAAGGGAAATTAGACAGAGATGAGGAAGAAGAGTTGACATTGTATTTATATTTTAAGCCTACAGTCATGTTTTCAAACTTTGAAGGCATAAAGTACACATTAACGATCACAAAATTGTGTTTTATTTAAAGGGAGCAATTTTTCCATCGTGTCAGTGCGTCGTGAGTTTTTTTCCTGATGATTTGGAGCCGCATGAACAACAAGTTTGGGAACCGCTGCCCTAAGTGCATGCATTAAAAACCTTTCGAACATCACAACCTACGATTCCCAGGTATGGCTTTCATAACAAAGTGAGCAAATGGACCAACTGCTAAAGACGCTGCTGCCTATTAGAGCTAATATCTGAAGCCCGACCCGAAATTCGGCTGGAAATGTCAATCATTGCGTTCGGGTCGGGCCTGAATCGTCAATCATTACGTTCGGGTCGAGCCTGAAATGTCAATCGTTACGTTTGGGTCGAGCCTGAAATGTCAATCGTTACGTTCGGGTCGGGCTTCTCTACCGCTGACATTATAAAAATAAATATATGTTTATAAAAAATATATACTAAAACTATGTGTGGATACTAAGCTAAGGAATACTTGTTATAAAAGAAATATTTTGAATAAAACAGAGATGAAGCTGTAATGAACCTTTCCCCGACCTTAAATATTCTTCCTATACTTTACCATTGCAAAATTTTCAGGGCATATTTTATTTTAAGAGTGGTTTCGAGTAAAATGGGGTATTTATTTCAAACCATCATTATAATTCAGCGCATACAACAATCTGTTTTATAAAAGTACCGGTAAAGAATTTTAGCCTAGTCTATCACAGCAATTTCTAATAGGACATTTGACACACGTTCTTTAAAGCCTTTTGATGGTAATATGTGTGTCGCTAGGGAATTTCTTAGTTTCCCAGTAAAACTGCAGTTACCCTTCTATCCATTAGCCCCGCATTGTCAAATGAATGTGCAGATTATAGAGCTCACAAAATACAAAAGAAAAAATGTGTCCCGACATTACCCACTTTTCCCTATACTGTACTAAACTCTTGCAATGACAATTCGAAGAACTTGAAGAACTAAATAAAATATGAAATTTTGTTTGCTTCGGGCTCGGGTCAGGCCTTCAAATCCAGTTAATTAGGTGGGGTCGGGCCTGCAAATCCAGTTAATTAGTCAGGCTCGGATCGGGTTTTAATACCCCCCGGGCCCGGGTCAGGCCTGCAAATGCAGTTAATTAGTCAGGCTTGGATCGGGTCGGATTTAATACCCACGGGCCCGGGTCGAGCCTGCAAATCCAGTCAATTAGTCGGGCTCGGGTCGAGTTTAATAACCGCAGGCCCGGGTCGGGTCGAACTGGGATTTTTGGGCCCGATCTTACTTCTACTGCCTATACATATATTTTGGGGGTTTCTCAAATGACCAGGACAATGCTTTTCTGAATACTTAAAAAACTAAAATACTCGAATTTCGAAAACTTTAAGCGAGAAGGTTTGTATAAATGTTTTTGTATTTCAAGAATGATAAACAGATGGTCATAATAAATCACTTTTTCAAACATTGGCAATCACAAATATTACAAAAAACTTTTGAGATGATGATAAATAAACATTGATATGCTGATAACTTATTTTTTTTACGCTTTATATTTAAGTATCATCCTAAGTTGTTTACATTAATAATGGAGTACTGCTCACAAACAATGAGCATCTTGTGAAATTGCGCTAGACCCAATAAACAAATAAAGGATATGACTAGTTACAATATTAATTTAAAGTTGTACTACAAATATTTCTAATCAATTTAGTTCTTGAAAATATTTTTCCATTACCCAATGATCCATGGTTTAGCCCCGTGGTTCACAAAGTGGGCGTCGCGACGCCCAAGTACGTCGTTTCAATTTTGCTAGGGCCTCGCGATTATCCAAAAAAAAAGCATTGCGCACTCTCATCCCTTTGGCGACTTCGTATTCATGTGAAGACCATGGCCATAATACGGGCAAAATATCGATCTCGAGTAAATGTTGAAAGGGGGAAAGCAAGCAGCTCTCACAACTCACAATAACATGACAATCGCAAGTACACTCATACACTCATCATATTAAATGCGACTTCACTGACTGAGTTGTGTTTGTTCGTTTAAATAGAGCGCATCGCCCAAAGGTGTATTATTGAATGGTATTAAGACGTTTTTCACAGGGAGTCGCCAACTTGATCATATTTTTGGAGGACGCCAAAATGCGAAGAAGTTTGAGAACCAGTGGTTTAGCCTATATAACTGAACTAACCTATAACATGAAAACGTGACTCAAATGAATGTAACTGCTTCTCACCTCCATTCCTGATTCATGTAACTGCATCTTGACCAAGGAAGCCAAACTGATATGGTATGTACAATACAAAAACAAATAAGGATGACATAGGTCAGCTTGATTCGCACAATATTGGCAGTAAGACTCCGCTTCCATTTGCCGAAATTTCTGGGGAAGTAACGGAATATTGAAAAGAGTCTGTTATTTCGCAGTAGCAGCCACCAAGCATGTTTCCCGGCTCTGTTCCGCATCCTAAATTTTGAGAACGTTGGGGAAAGAATTTCAAAAGGAAACACATATAACAAGTCGATGCCGAACTTTTTAAATGTGAAGTAGTATTTTCCAATGCCACGGAAGCTTGTAACTTCTCCTACAAAAGAAAGAAAACACCAATTTAGAGCCACCAGATGAAACAATTTAAAAACCTCATTACAAATAAATAAAACATTGTGCAATTTGAAAAAAGCTAAAATTGATCACCACATGAACCAGAAGTCAAATCAGAACTCATTTTCAATTGCTGACAAAAACTGCAAGGAAAAAATGATACATTTGCTTTTGATTTTGAATACCATCGGGTTAATGTTGTATTTATGAAAGCACAAGTTCATGCATTCAGGGACAAAAATGCTAGAATTGGGTCATGCCCATCTGGTTCAACAGTGCGTTGCGATTACAGATCCAAAAATTAGGTTTTTTTCTTTAGTCTTATTTTTAGTTAAAAATGTCAGATTGTTTATGCAAAAGGTATAACATTCTTTTAATTGTATATTTCGCAATATTTCCCATTTCTTTCCATATTCCCAGTATTTACAGTAACAAAACGCAATCAGTATGCAGCAGAAGTACGCTTCTAATATCCCAACCTTACCAACAGGTCTATACAAATATGCTACAAATGAATATAACAGTGCTCCAAAACCCTGTTCCCCTAGGATATACTCATAATCCGGTGCACTATTTCCAACATGACTAATAATATTTTAATATAACTTCTAAAGACCAAATATTATTAATCTTACTGCATTTTACCTGTGGTAGTTGGGATAACAGCCCTCATACTGATGAAAATATTCAACCAAAATGAAAGATCAATTATCAAATAAGAAATGATAATATGTATCCAACCATTAACAGTTTCCACATTCAAGCCAAAAATAGTTACATCCCATGTCCAAGGTATATCGACTCTGAAAACAAAACAACATTTTAATATAGTGAATTGAAGGATGTAAAATTATGCATGTCTTGATTTATACTGACCCAAAATCTATAAATTAAATTCACACTTGAAAAGCATTACTTTTGAGCAATGACAGCAAGGTTTCAACAACAAACTATTGATATTCTTACACATATCCTGTAGTGAGATTGCCTGTAATCTTTTCAGATAACAGTCCACCGACTCCCAGAATGCATCCAATAGTCCCATTCACGTTGGATTCAGTATCACAGACTTTGAGAGATTCAATCATACTTTTATCATCTTCCATATCTACAGCAACATCCAGTACTGGCAGAGTATCAAGGCATGTTCCACCACAAGGATTCACTGCACAAAAAAAGAAAAAAAATGAGACATGGGATAAAATCACAAAAGTAATCAGTAATCTTGTTTTCGTCAAAAAATATTGTTAGAACTGAATAAGGAAATATACTTCAAGTTAATATAAGCTAGTGTAAACTCTCAGCGCTTTGACACAAATCATTACAGCAAAATATGAACAGTATAGAATTAAAGTATGACCCACACCATCGAAATACATGTATCTGAAACAATAAACAGGCAAAATAGCAATTCATGTATCGAATCTGGATGAGCAGCATAGTTCATTATATGATTATCGCATTTCCCTTGCTAGGATAAATATGAAACATCCTATCATCAAATGTTGGAGATTGAGGCATAAAATTTGTATGTATAATGAACCCGAGATTTTAGGTAATGCTTGTGATACTTTGCTTCGAAATGTCAACATGTGATGAATAGCTTCACATATCATGCAGATTTGATATGTGAATGACAATTAGGATTCATACCAATGCAAGTCCATATTGGCAGTTACGGTAAGTATAATTTCTAAACTATATGAAAATGCCTCCTTGATATAAACCACATACATCGTGAAACTAGAATGTGTTGATTAAAGATCGACAATTACACTTTTGCATTATTAGCTATTGGATAATCTCATATTGAATTTATATTGATTTCATTTTCATACTGTACTCTTTGTTGAAGTACTACAAAGCACTGACATAAGAAAAACAATACATAAGCACAGTACTGTAATGGAGCAAACCACACAATGAAGTTTAAACCCTACTTATTATCTTGCATTGGCATAAGAATAATCAAGAGCATAAAAAAGTCTTTACCCCTCTTTATTATCATGTGCATACAAAACATGGTTGATTGAAACAAAAATGCAAAGAGAGACAGCGCTGTAATATATTTTTCCCAGAACCGATAAAATTTTCCATTTGTATGGCATATCGTTGCTTTCTCAATTCTTTGAAATAAAGTCATCTGAAATAAATTTGAAAAATTGAATAACAAATTATTAGATAATTTTTATCAGATAAGATCCAAGAGTAACAACTGAAATGAAACCGCTATGTTAAATTGTTTCTCATGCAAGTTTGCTTGTGTTAAACTAACAATGGATGAAACCCATGCAAATATTCGTTTCATAATTTACTTACCCTTGGCAGGCATACAACTGTAAAAGTAAATGAGAACTGAACATTTACAAATCAAAATTTATCAGAGAAGTAAACATGATATAGAAATTTTGCTGCAAATCCCAAACTTTTAGAGCAGTGTTTCAAAATCTTTCTGAAATAACCCCTTCTACGACTTTCAAAAATCGTACAATCCCCTCATCTTACATGAAACTGTAATCAATTGTTTTTTTATAACACACATAATTTAGTCATCCTACAATATGTTTTACAATGATAGAGCCAACAAGACAATAATTATTTGACTTCAATAGGATTGCTTGTAATATTTTATCAAGTGCATTTTTACTAACAATGCTTTCTATCAGTGCACTGGTAAATCAATAAATAAAATTAGAATGGCCTACACAAATATCTAAAAGATGGTTTGTATAATTTAATTCATATTGAAAATTACATTCAAGTATGTGCATTGTGCATATGATTTTATTATTTAAAAGCATAAAATTGATATACATTTAATAGCAAACCTTGTTTGAATCATCATTTTCATCTGTAGCAGGGAAATATTCACCTAAAGGTACACACTTATGAATTGAATTAATCACAATATAGCTAATAACATTCACAATAATACTAGTAATTGAGTTGCACAACTTTGCAGAAGATGAATCTCAGAATTGTTTTCGAGCTATATTCATATAAAGTTACAAATGCGTAAATAAAGTCTCCTGTGTAACTAATCGGCATATTTCATTGTTTTATATTCTTTAATTGTATGTAGTTAGTCTGTCAATAGCTTGTATTAATGTTACACATTATTTACCTGTCCTTGTTTATAAAAAATTATTGTTTGTTGAGGTATTATCTGTCATTCTACATGGGCATTCCAAATGTCTTAAATAAATAAATACAATTGATAGAACGATAAAGCATACAATCTTTGAATACCTCTTTGGTGACCACGAAAAGTGACACGAGATAGACCAATTCCATCATACTCTATATTTGCAACTTCAGTCATTCTTACAGCTCCAGAAACATCTTCAGAAGCTGACTTTTCAAATTGGTAAGATTTTCTTCGTATTGATCCTTCTAAATCTTCCACTATACTTTTTCTATGACCTTGCATAATTCTGTAAAAGAAAAATGTATGCTTCGTCATCTGAATGTGTCGTAATATAATAAAATCACTAATATACTACAATACAAAGTAGCACAGCATTTTTATATTAATCAATATCAGTCCTCCCGCATATAATTATCCCGCAAAGACTCACCTTTCCAAAGCGACAGAATCTGATATTGATGGGATATCCAATGGCCATTTAGACGCAATACATCTTTCTCTGATAGCATCTTTAATTTGATCGGAAGCTGAAAATTTCAACAAATTTAGCTATCAACGAACTAGCAAAAAGTTGTCTATGGCAAATCTGTATTATCAAAGTAAAAATGCAAGCAAATAAACTAACTCCTTATAATCCTATATTTTATTGCCCATTGCATCGACTACAAAGGATGGCCTAGCAAATAAGACTAGAGCATTTATGTTTGAGAGTACATTAACATCAATAACAGACAATTATAGTGTATCAACTATTATTACTTATCGATCTTAAGATCGGTAAGTATATTGATAGGTATTTGTCTGTATGTATGTCTGTCTGTATGTATGTCTGTCTGTATGTATGTCTGTCTGTCTGTTAGATGCACGCGATATCTCACGAAAGCGAGATTGAATCTGCTCCAGATTTTGCATGTGCATTCATCTTATCTCGGACCAGTAGCCTATTGATTTTGGGCGAATTATGTCGTATAATTAGCGAGTTATCAATCAATTATTGATATAGTGATCTAGATTTTTGTAAAGCGAGAGAATTTTGAAACCCGCCGAGTGTGTGTGTGCGATGCGCAGTGCGCGAGTTACAAGAGCGGATGAATCGAAACTGCATTGATATTCTCGTTTTTGTCTTGATTTGGGAATCTACTGATATTTGAAGCGTATCTGCAATTGAAAACACATCATGTGCAACATCTGATAAATAATACTTAACAAAAATTTTGTTTTTTCGGTTGCCTATCAGAAACTTCTGCCTCTGAACTCGTCAGAGTGAAAATTTCCCTAGTTACAAAGGTCCATATCAAGGTGTCAGAAAAATTCATTAAATAAAATTCACCTTCTGGATACTCCACGATGACTTCAGCAAATGCATGTGTGTCCAGCCACAATAACTCACAATCTGTCAGGCATTTGATTGTGTTCAAACGGGGCAAATCAAAAAGTAAAAATGCTTCTCCAAAGCATTCACCTTCTGATATAGTATCAATAACATTTTTTTCTGACTGGTCTAAAATCTATTAACAAAAAATATTTTTGTGATCTATCTAGTGATATAGAATAGACGCCCGTCAGATATTAGTTTTGAACTTCATATTACTTCAGTTAGAAACAAACCTGAACTAATCCTCGGTGAACATAGCACATTGCATCAGCAATCTCTCCAGAACGCTGAACATATTGATTTTTCAAATATATTCGATGCTTTGACACTCGGGCAAGTTTTCTCCACAAAGCGCCTTGAGTTCCTTTCAACAAGCTTGCCTAATTAAAATGGTGCGTATGTTTAGACTAGAGTAAATGTCATATAACCAATGATATATCAAGTCTCAAATATAGAGTGTGTGACACAATGCAATGATTAACATTATTTTGAAATTAAATACTTGAATAAATGCATACTAACAAGCCTGGCCAATAAAATATTCGAAGTAAAACAGTGAACAGAAAACAAAGAAAATTGAAAAAAAAATAGTCGACATCAAGTACAAAAAACTCACTCTGTCCAGCAGTGGTTTAAACGCATATTCAGTGAAAGTTCCATGTAGACAGTCAGGCAGAATATCCAATGTTCCTATTCCATGAACCATGAGACCCTGAAATCTATGCCATATGTAGTCACAATATCCAGTACACACACTTTTGACCTGCTCTCTGACATGCATGTTTTCCTAAAATGAAACAAGCACAGCATCAAGCTTTGGATCAAGTGAAAATAGCTTTATATACAATGACTGAATTTCATCATAGGTTACTCATTTTTGTATCCTTTTTGTTAATTTCAACTGGTGAAGAATAGCTTAGATACCTGGACAAAATTAAATGGAGAATTCATTCTGTTTTTGAAAGTATCTACCAGTTTCATTTATCAAAATTGAGCGGGCAAAAAAGGGGTGAAAACAGAACAGACAAAGCATCCAAGTTTTACCAATTCTCCTTGGAAAGCGTCGAAATAATGAACAAATGAAGCTCGACGAGCATCTGCATTCAAAAGCAAGGAGGTAATTCCTGAAACAGCCATTCCATACAAGAAAGCCATTCCAATCAACATTGCAAACATCGAGAACAGCTGTAGAAAGATATGAGTTTTTTGTGTTCAGAAAGTTAAAAGTCAAAATAAAATATTCATACTGATATTTTTTGGATTTTGTCCACATTGACTTAAGAAGGCCAAGTTGGTATTCTCCATTTTTAATTACACTGATTGATTTATAATTGTTATTATCACTTGTACTGAAGAAAGAGCCTATACTTTTCCATCGCAACTGAAAATTTACCTTTTCAGAGATTGTAAAGGCATGTACATCACCAAATCCAGTTGAAAAAGATGAATGTGCAGCCCAGTAAAGACTTATAACATAGGTAGGAGCCAAATACCGAACTTCATCAGTAACATCTTGTTCCATTGGCATAAAGTTAATATTCAAACGTTCATGGATTTTATCTAGAAAAAATAGCAGTAACAATCAGTGATATTGATATCATACTAATATTACAGTATAACAAAATCAATGGATATCTTACACAAAAGGGCATGATAGAGCCAACTATTCTCTCGACACATGCTTATTCTGAATTCTCCATAGCCTGCATTCGCACATGAAATACCATAAAATCCCAATGCTGAGAAATGAATCACTATGCTTGATAAAGTTATGTAGAGCGTAGTCCTGAATTTAACAGTGCTTGATCCAGGTTCTTCTTGTCTACACCCTGAGTCAGTGGGAAATAAAAATCAGATCAGTGATAATAAAAAAATTTTTTTTTCAGGTTTATGATAAATAAATAATATAGTTTCTTTTAATAATCATCCAGCCATATAAGGTAAATCTTACCGATGTAGTACAGAACGTAGTGAAGTCGGAGATAGATCTTCTGCTTATCAATGACATAAAACCAATGTTCTTCACCAGGTAAAATATATCGAAGAAATGAGAATGGAAGAATGGTTATCAAATCCAGGAAAAATCCGATACTGGTCTGATATCTTTCCCGAACTTTCAAAAGATTTCGTTCTTCAACCCCATCAATGAGATGCCCAGTTCGTGATCGTAAAAACATAAGTATGATGTACAACAAATCAGCAAGATCACCAAAGCCAGATGTTGAATAGGAGTAATTGAAGACAATGATATAAGAGTTCAGAAAGACACAACAGATAACAAAGAAAATGACCACATGAGTGTAATATCGTAGGTAGTTGTTGTACCAAGAGATGGTCCCACTGCAAAACGCGTCCGGTTCAGCAGCTTCATCATTTTCATAGCCTGACATGACATTTTCAATATCTTCAATTAGTTTCCGATTGCTAGATTTTTTCAATGTAAGACGATGCTCCGTTTGTTTGGAGCTATGTAAGTTTTCAGCATCAGCCATTCTGTTTGATTGTTTCAATCTTGCATAGCAAAATTGTCATCAACCACAGAACCACTTTGCGAAGTTGTATGTTTCAGTGTTTTAGTAAGCTACATTTTATTGTCTGTAACAACATGCCATAAGTCAGTAACCTCTATTAAAAAGGGGTACGTCAGCTCGCGTATAGTAAATAACATATCGATTCCAGTAAGAATTGCGAAATTCCGTACCACAGAAAAAGAGACAACAAGGCACAGCTATAGCCAATCATGGCAGTGTATTATTATAAACAGCACAGCATTCCCACTCGTACGTATCAGATGCACATAGCCTACTTTTCTAATTTATCCTCACCGAGTTTTCAGCCGCGCTGGTTTATCGCTAACAATTAATCTGGAATGGGCCCTATTATATTTCGGTTCTAGCAAAGTGAGCGCCCTAAATGACGGCAAACAAAAATGCGATATAAAAAGAATTGCCGTGACTTCTTCAAATTAAGTTACGCCAAAAAATATGATGTAACGTAAATAAATATACTGCCCTAATTTTTATTTCAAATAAGTCTGTCTCGCGCGGAACGGTATATCCTTTTTGGCGTGGGACATACCTGCTGGGTCGCAAATTGAGTAGGTTCGATTTTGACTAAACGCGTCCGTCAAGATTTCCATTCCGCGGCAGATTCCGCACAAAAATTTCACAGCACATTTTTGTTTGGCGTTATTCTAGCAGTTATGGCGTTTACTTCGATATACCTCGATAATTCTTCACTGACTTGATTTCATATTTTTCCTGACTCCTACAATCTTGCTACCTACAAACTAAAGTTATTAACCGCCATTTCAGTTTCACTGGTATGTAAAAGTGAGAACCTAAGAGAGGGATCGTCTTCCAAATCGACTCATGTCCAATCAGAAAACGTTGTTGACAAAGACATTGTTACGTCATTATAAATTGTTTTCTATTATTACATCACAATGTAAATTACTCTAATGCACGTCACGAGAATGACAACAACAATCTAAGTAAGTTTATTCGTATGAAAACGTAAACATTCAATATCTGAGTGTTCCAATCAGAAATGCGTACCTCTTACTTGACACCATGCTGTTTATTTTTATCGGCTTTCAAGCCTCACATGATGTTAGTTCCATTGTTTTGTGCATAATCCAGTATCTCAATTATTTTAATTCAATAGTCCTATATTTTTTTATGTGAATCAAAATATCATTTCAGTGAAATTAGTAGCATAACCTTTCAATATTTGTGCCACTTATAAATTGGCGGGGATTCCTTTAATGAATTGATAATCCAAATAAGTGAAAGAGTGTTGTTTTTATACATGTTTTATTGTTTTCAATTATTAATCTGTGACCCCAATACCTCCTGTCTACATAGATCATAACCAACTCTTCCGAAACAAACACATAAAATCATCAACAGATGCATATCACCAAGTAGATATTGCTGAATTGGTCTTTATTTTACCATTTTTCATGTAATTCTTTTTGGTAAACCTGTTATCTATCGTAAATACAACACATTTGACAATGTTGTAGTGTGACTTTTTTGGCCTCGCATTTTTGATACTTGTAGTTAGAGCTCCTGGGGCTCTGTCAAACAAAGTTACATACAAAATATTGGTTGTAAATTGCAAAACATGATCATATTGTTGGAATAACTTGGCATTTTACTACCCGTATATCATTCATTGTTGAAAATATTAATAAAATCATAAAATTTAAAAATCCGTTTTCGTGAAATTTTGGTGACCGTACATTTGAACCCACGTACATTTGAACCCATGCGTATATCCACGGGTTCAATCTATATGCGGGTGCTAAAACCCATGGGTTAGGGTTAGTATGGGTTTAACTATCCGTGAAACAAAAAAAATTTCATAGGTGCAATAGCATACAGGTGCAATTGTCATGGGTTCAAATGTACGTGGTTTCAAATGTAATGGAACCGAAATTTTTGTTGTAGCTGAATTCCAGGGACAGCATGACAACAGGCAAGAGAAGCACGGTCGCCTCTTTAGTTTATGACAGGGTTTCTTAAAAGGGGACCCCGTCTTCCTTGGAGGCCGCTGATCGGTTATCTGGGAGCACGAACAACCAGATGTAAATGCGAATATATAATAACAATGTATTTTCATAGAAGAGAAGAGGCAAAAGTGTTGAGTCCTTGGTAGTTTGAAAAGCATTGGCATGGAACATAAGAATGAACTACATTCTTTCCCAGGGATATACTATAAAATGTAGCTTGTTCTCGTGATACCATTATCTTCCACTGCGTCGTCGTGATCATCCCGCTGCATAACAATTCTCGCTAACAAATAATTGACTGTTCTCCACCGGGTGTATATCCACTTGAACCACTGGCGACTGCATTAGCAGGTTTGTATTGTTAATTGCAACAAAAACGGGTATTTTGAAATAGTACTCTTTATTTTACGCGTATGTTTCGACAGTATGCCCATATAGCCTACTGTATATGGGTCGCGAGCCAAAGCTGGGCTCAACAAATACCTAAAAGTTATTGATTTGATAAATTTGGTGCTTGCGTAGTTTGTGCACCAAGATTTCGCACAGTCTGAACATAGCATGTAACAGGTCATGGTACAGGTTGTGCGTCATTATGGTGCACATGTTTGACAAAAAACACTAATACAAATATTTCAATAAATACCTAAAAGTTATTGATTATATTTCCTAGTAAATTTGGTGCTTGCGTAGTTTGTGCACCAAGATTGCGCACAACCTGAACATAGTATGGTAACAGGGTACGGTTCAGGTTGTGCGTCAATATGATGCACAGGTTTGACGAAAAACACTAATACAAATATCGAGCCGTAAAAAAATTGCTCAAGGCTGCAAACTCCACACCCATGTAGAAATGATGAGCAATGACCCCAAGATGAATAATCACAAACAAAAAAACTTTATGTCTGAAATCAAACTATCTGCCGGACTAAAACATATATTTTCATGTAGTAATGTGTAATGAATCGTTTAATTCACTGTGATAAATGAATTGCCATCTTCCTACTTGTTCTGAGCACACATGCTGTAACTCTCTACTTTATTCGCATATATTTTTATGTAATACTGTATAATGAATCAGTTAATTCACTGTGGTAGTTGAATTGCCATTGTGAATGTTTTGGTCTGATTATAAACTTTCCAGCCATCTTCCTACTTGTTCTGAACACACATGCAGGAACTCCATAATTCATTCACATATATTTTTACGTGGTTCTGTATAATGTGGGATGAATATAACTTTCACTGTGCAATTATAAAATAGATGAACCAATTGATGAACCGATGAACGAAAAGTTAAAGATGTCGGATAATTGTAGTTTATTTAGAGAGTCCTGTCAAAATTTATTAAATAGTTGATCTTTAATATTGATTCATATATAATTAGTACTGCTGTATAATTTATTTCATGTTGTTGTGCTTGACGTGCTGATAAATTATCATTCCAATGCTTGTTCTGTGCACTTACCATCAAATTTATGTATATCTCCATCCAATCAAATTAAAAATGAGGAAATTTTTTTTATAATACTGTTATGCGTATAATATTTCTAGACTTGCAAAATGTATCAACCTAAAATTGTATTTTCTTGGTATTTATTGTTGGTGGTCTTGTTTGATTTAATTCATCTTAAATACCAAACTTCCATCCACAAAAATAAATCAATGAATTTGAAAATTTATTCAGTTAATTCCCCTATCCTTTTCCTGATTAGATTATTTCTGTATATAATGTATATATATAGTTTTTTTTATATATATACTGAGAGTTCATATTATAACAGAACCCGTTTCAATTTATTTATTCAAGTATTTGAATTGAGTGGTACTGGTAACTGACTCAGATGACCGTATATCAGGGGTCGGCAACCTACGGCCTGCGGAGTAACATAATCCGGCCCGCGACGTTCCCTAAATTATAGGAACAAAACAGCTGTTTTGACGATTATATTTTTTACTTTACACAATTCATTGTGAGACGCGTGTAGACTAAATTACATTATAATCTAACAAGCATAAAATTCACAACTCGTTTAATGAGCCTATAATTTAATTATAATTAGACAAATGGCAACAAAACGTAAAAAAGTTGATGCTATGTGCAAAGGGTTCAATGGCGCCAAAAATGCAATGCAATGAGGAAATAAATCTATATTCTATTCGAGAGATGTATCACTGCTCCATTTTTAATATAAAAAGTATCATCTGTTCGGTTTTCAACTTTCTAAAAATATGTGCGGCCCGCTAATGAATTGCAATAATTATTTTGGCCCGGGAAGCGCGCAGCCAGTCAAGCGCGCAGCCAGGATTTTCCAAAGGGGGGTTAAAAATCGGAAATTTCCATTTCATTCTGAAACAGTAGCCGCGATTACGCGTTCATAAAAAGAGCCGACTTTTTCAGGGTATACCGTAAAATATTCAATTCAGGACAGCTACAAGAATCTATAAAATTTTTCTTTTATTTGGATATAATTGTGTCCAACGTAACTCGCGGTTCCGTCTTCTTGTGTCAAAATAGAAACATTACTTGTCTAAAATACCGCTCCATCTGTTGGCGTATAAAAATATGAGATAGACATGCGTGATTGTATTTAGCGTGGTTACTTTTTTGTGATCTTACGAGTTCGTTATCGCCGTTAGAAAAATCTCAAGATCTGTAATAAAAATCTCGTAGAGTACAATTAAATACATATGAAGGATATATATCAGTAAATCAAAAATACAAATTTATCGCCTCGAAATCCCCGCGGAACGATTTCCTCGACGAATAATAATTATTTTTCTGCTGTGCAAAGTAATCAATCCATGACCGATACGGCCATATTTAAAATGTCTTGCTTTATTATAATTTAATTGTCTTCAATTTAACCCGCGTTTGCGTCGACAATATAGATCCGTATTTTTGCCATTTTGCGAATTCGACAAATCTAAGATGTACTTGCAACAATGACTCCGCTCTATCGCAATGCTGCCACTCAGATTATTTTTAAGATGAAACCGTTAGAAAAATTCCTAAGTCTGCAATAAAATAAAATTTATTTTAGTACATTAAAAATTGATTGAATATATATACTAATTACTAATCTCATATATCACCACGACTCGGGGAA